ATTCTTATCTAGGATGATTATATGTTAGTTTATGAACTCTAGAGATAGATTAAAAGCTGACATCTACTTGGGTATCTGTGATTAATGCCTCTGTATTGTTTGTGTCGCTCTGAGAGATCGTCGATGCAAGCGAGCACGGTTGACTTCTGTGTTGTTAAGGTGGTTGAGAGATCGCTATCGAGGTGACGCAGTCGGCCTCTCAATTTGGGTTAGAAATGACTTAGGTTGTGAGTGATACATAGTGACATTGATGAATATTGTAGGTTTAGTATAACAAGTTGATAGGTTTAAGTCTGTGAGAAGTAGTATATATGCATGCTTGATAAGTTATTCCTTTTTCCTTTTTATACATTCATTTTCTGTTAATACTTTTACTTTCAACCTATTTAACCCCAAACTCATTAACGATAGAATTTGTCGAACAGAGAATCAATAACCAATCTCTATGGACACGATACGATATAACCTATATCTCACCCGATAAATTAATAACTTACTTTTTGCTTGTCGCTTTACCGCAGTAACATATGCCTTCACTATATAGTGATTCGTGCCCCGATCGAAATGTTCTATATACCAATGAAAATTAAACTTCTACACAAGCTCCCTCATAGCCTCGCCTTCCTCGGTCAACATCGGCTGCCCGTTCGGCCCGAACTTAGGGACACTGTCAAACACATTAAGGATCTCCTTCTGCAACACAGGCTAGACCAACATGTACATGTTCTTGAAATTCTGGACAAATTCAATATAGGCTTTAAACAACTTCCTGTTAGCTTGCTTTAAGGAGACACATCCGAGTTGATTGTTAATGGTGCCCCGCTGAAGATGAAAATAGTAGGAAAAAAAAGGGACAATGGCCCTAATCTTCAAATAATCACACACAATCTCAAAGTCCCACAGAAAGGCTATGGAGTTGGGGTGAAGTTACGAGGGAGCGAGATGAAGATAATAAAAAATGGCCACCTGTAGATCGGTAAAAGGAAGTCAGAGACCTATGTTCCTGAAAATGATCTCGTGCATAGGAAGGTGGTTGGCAACATATTTTATACAGATCTTGTCGTACTTCCCAAGGACATAAACAACCTAATCCTCCCAGGCGTTCCCCTGTTCCATCTCTGCGGACACGACCGTGAACGCATCACCCAAGTGCTCGGAAAAATGTGAGGAAATCTCCAGAGGACCCGGATCACTCAAATCCACCCCTCTGGGGACCACAGGTACTTCATGTACATGCACATTTTGCCCAAAAATTCAGGGCTGCCCCGATGTGGTATGCTTGGATGAACTCTTGTTGGTTGTGTCCTGGTCGGACGTAGATTGATCAGAGAAATTTCGCTCACCCATAATATCATCATCGAAACCACTGGCCATTTTCCTGAAAAACAGAGGAAGAAATTGAATTTGACATCAAAATCAAATCCACCCTTCCACCGCCAGTCTAGTGAAAGGGCGTGTGAAGGCACGAGGACCACGTCCTCGACTAGAGCCTTTACTCAAACAACAAAATATGGACACAAATGGGCTATCTCCCCGACATTTTGGTTCTAACAACCATCATGAAGGATCATCAGAAACACATAAAGTTCATGACTGAAACCCGAAAACAGCTCAAATGCCAAACATCACTAGCGGACTCCTGGTGGAGTCGACATCTTCGTATGGCAGAACCACCGTCAGACACCAACAAATCGTCAGGAAATTCCTCCAATAAGCCACATCTATCCTAACTGCATGCATCTCTAGACGCGAAATTGTAAAATCTAACCTAAATCAGATGTGAAATTCACGAAAACTTGAGAAAATCAAGAATCTTACTTGATAGGGAAAGCTTAACGGCAGGATGGATAGAAAATTCGACGGTGAGTGGCGGTGCTTTGCAGAAATAGTAGAAGCGAGCATGGGAAGGCAAGAGAAAGGTGCAAATGAAGCTTCCTTTCTCCCATTTATAGGAAGCTTCGTTGGCACGTGAGCGGACACGCACCTAGGGAAACCTAGGGATCGTCATCATTACACCCTACTCCCTAGACCCGCCATCATTACACATTTATGACAGCACGTGGCTCGATGCAGGCATGGCACACAAACTCCTCAGATTCAATTAATTGTTCCTCTCCCTGCGAGACGAACACACCAGGCAACGCTCGGGCTCCTCGTACGAAATTGTCTCAAAAAAAAATCACGAAGCGTCATCCGACCGTGGGCACGTCTTAAGTTATTACTCATTTGCCCAAAAGCAACGATTTTGTAGGCTCATGTTCTGGATTGACCCAATGACTAGAATGTGCCCAATCTCCTTCTACCTCCAGCGCGACCCAACAACTCTGGCCCACTAACTCTAGTCTTCGGTCGAGCACACATGATCGATCATACCACAAGGCTAGCAAGGATAACGATGCCCTGACCACGCGTCTGCCCGCATCGACATCCACCTCCAAGTATGCCCGACACCGTAGAGCATACTACCAGGAAACGCCTATAAACGCACTTTCCCATAATATCCTTCTTGCTTGTATATCGCATGGCACACAAACTCCTCAGATTCAATTAATTGTTCCTCTCCCTGCGAGACGAACACACCAGGCAACGCTCGGGCTCCTCGTACGAAATTGTCTCAAAAAAAAATCACGAAGCGTCATCCGACCGTGGGCACGTCTTAAGTTATTACTCATTTGCCCAAAAGCAACGATTTTGTAGGCTCATGTTTTGGATTGACCCAATGACTAGAATGTGCCCAATCTCCTTCTACCTCCAGCGCGACCCAACAACTCTGGCCCACTAACTCTAGTCTTCGGTCGAGCACACATGATCGATCATACCACAAGGCTAGCAAGGATAACGATGCCCTGACCACGCGTCTGCCCGCATCGACATCCACCTCCAAGTATGCCCGACACCGTAGAGCATACTACCAGGAAACGCCTATAAACGCACTTTCCCATAATATCCTTCTTGCTCGTAGCAACGACTAGTTACAAGCATGACTGCCTTTTTTGACCAAGTCTTGGGAGTTATTTATTTTTGTGGAACCTAATATCTAGGCCTAAAAATAGAAACCAATGGCTACACGTCAGGGGCATTATATAAACCCTCACACTTGTGAGGACCAAATATCGAATAATCATTCTAAAACCATAATCTTTTTCCTGTATCTCTTTGCACTCTTTCTCACTTGAGCGTCAGAGTGCCTTGCATGTATATCGCCCCCCCCCCCCCCCCCCCCCCCCCCCCTTCTCCTCAGATTTCCAGTCAAAAGATACATCATCTTCTCGGTCCACTTCAAGTTCTGATCAACGGATAAAATTAATTAATATTTAAATATTCAAGTCAATAAAAATAATTAAAAATAATATATGAATGAGAATAAATTATATCATACTTTTTCATGTGAATTCTTTATATACGAGAGTTGGTTGGAATGTTAAAAATCTAAGATTAAATATGAGTTTTTCTTATTGAGTTTTTGGCCCAATATTGCAGCATTCAATATGATCATAGTGATGATACATTGACCTACATGAAAATGTAATATTCAAAATGATTTAAACTTCAATAAATCTTGTATGTTCATCTTTACTTATACCATCTTTCATTTGCTCACATTTATGTTTCAATTCAACTCCAAGAATATTCTTGTTCTATCCAACTTTAATATTTATATTTTTATAGTAAACATTTGAATATTTTCATTTTCTGCATTCACTTTACCTCACCAATATATTTTATTAGGTTAACTTTATGTCATTGTACACACACATAACTATGTATATGCAAAGAATCTATTTTTTACTAGTTATTCGGCTCATATATATGAATTCACAAATGTGTCCACGTCCCAGCTCAACAACTTTCGGCAAAGTGATTTAAGTATTGGCTCACTCAGATTTGTATAATCTAGCATGCTCAAACATGACCAAACTTGTATGGATTTATTTATTTGTCAACAAATAACATAATTAAGAATTTAAAAATTAAAAAAAAAACATTTAAAGAAAAGGAAACCTTGAAAAGCTATCTAGATCTAGTTTCCTTCCACGACTGTCAAACTTTTATTTGGCTGGATTATAATACTATACTTTAAACAAATTTTCCACCATGTGTCGAACATACAAACATTATAAGAAAACGACAGGAAAAAGAATCTGAGTCCGAAATTTCTTAATGTACATTTTGTTTTTGTCCTATGAAAAGGAGTGGTGCTGGTATAAGATGCTTTTATTTTATGTTTGGAGTTAATAATAATAATAATAATAACTTGCATAAATAACAGTGTTGAATTGGATTGTACTACTAAAGAAATAATAATGCATTCAAATTCAACTCATATAGAACTAGTGGCACTGAAACTATCAACAAAAATGTGTACTGTGTATTAAAACGTGTCATAGTACACTGTCATTATTTTTGTCTTTATGTTCACTTTTGTGTTCAGTGTACCTAAATTAATATGGCCAAGCTTGTTTTGGAGAGGCAAAGAAACGTTATTGGAGGAAAGAATGAATAATTGTGTGGATGCTTTTTGGCTTCAGAGCTAGTGGATCATCATACTCTGATTCTCTGTTTCTTTTTCCCTTAGTCACTATAACGAAGCTTATCCAAATTACATGAAGATTACGTGGCCACGGTGTGTGTTATAGACAAAAACTTGATAAAAATTTGACTTCTTTAGTATTAAAATAAATAAATAAAAAAATATTTTTTTTTAGAGAATTATGTTAAAACTTAAATAAAGATAATACAAAATAAGTCAATTGATTTGTTAAAAACCTTTACTTAAAAACTATTAAAAGGACCGGATTGCAGTAAGTTCTATACGACAAATACTAATAAAATAAAATCCCATTATTGAGTGTCTTGAATGTATATTAGCAATACTTTCATCACCTTTATTTGAAAGAAAAAAGATTTAACTCTACTAAAGTAACATTTCCATCCAACAATTCAATACGAGTAAAGTTTATTTAAGAAATAGTGGAGCATAGGTGCATATTCTAAAATCATCACATAATAGTGCAAGATGTATCAGGCTCATCCCACCTAGTCATGTGTAGCACAGCAACTGGTTGAGCATGGTGGTAGTACTGAGGAGGCATCACCATATACTGAGTCACTACTGCTTCGGACATATTCTTTTCTTCAACTTTTTCTTCGGGCTTTTCTATGGGCTTTTTATTTTCCTTGGGCTTCTTTTGAGAATCTTTTTTGGGAGGAGGTGGGATAAGGGGAGGCCCAATACTCAGAACTTTAGCATTTTTTCGAACTTTCTTTATTCTAATTATTATATCATATGGGTCAGCATTCCCTGTTATAGTCAAAATTCCTTTCTCTTCATCAACTTCTATTTTATCTATCCCTACAATTCAAATGAAAAATTAGGCTATTTTTTTAATTAAAAAAATAGTACTTGATTAATAAACTAATTGATAATTTATAGATTATGATGGATTATTAATGGACTAGTAATTTACAATTGACAATTTACAATTGATGAGTGATAATTAATATTTAATAAATTAACTGAAGTGTTTGATAAAATTAATAGTTTAAATAATTGATAAATATAAAATAATATAGTAATTGTTTTGTATTCTTTGTATTTAATAAATAATTTTTTATTTTAAATTAAAAATAAATTATAAAAAATAAAAATGGATTTTAATTTAAATATTAAAAATAAAAATGAAAAAAAATGATAAACTATCAACTATAAACAAAAATACTATTTAAAATAGTATTTAAAAATAAACTAAAATTTTGTGATAAAAAGAAATTATCTAACAAATCTTTTATTATTATATGAATTTATAAATTATAAGTTAAAAATTTTAATTTCTAAAATATCTTAAACAAATAAGAATTTTAAAAGAAGTTAATTTAAACAATAGTTACATATGAGATTGTTATAAATTAAAATTAAATGTGGATAGCTATGCAGAAATATTAGATGGTGGACAATTTGCAACATCTCATTTATTTATTTTTATAGGATGAACTTTATACATAGGTTACGTAACAAAAAAATTTAATTTTTTTTAATATAAATGATTTATAGATGAATTTTGTAAAGGTCATATAAAAAATATAATCTATTTTTTGTTTGCTTAAAATTATAAAAAAATTTTTTTTTGTATTTATCTCTCTTCTATTAAAAATGATTTTTTAGATTAATCAAAGTAACTTTTAATTTCCAACATAAATATTTTTCTTACGATTATTTAAAAAACATACACATATACATAATTAAAAATAAAAATTATTTATAATTTTAAACAGATGATACATAAAATAATAATAATAATAATACTCATGGTTGATTGAGGGTTATTTCTACACATAAATAAAATTATGTTTAGAAAAGATAATAATATAAATTTTTTAAAGGATATCTAATAAAAAAGAACTATTTTATTTAAAATCTTTTATTTAAAGATGGAAAAAAATAGTACTAATTGATATCCCATTGATGTGTTATAAGAATTTGGCAAGAGGCTTATGTTCCTATTCAAAATATTAAACAATTATTCAATCCTGAATAAAGAGAAGAGAGATTAGAAGGGAGATTGAGGACTAATGTTTGGGTTAATTACCTTGAAGAGATGAAACAGCTTTGATAAGTTTCTTTTTGCATTTGAAACAATCAATATCAACCTTCAAAACAGTTATCTTAACCATGGAGAAATTAACACATCAACTGATTTTTTTTTTCCTGATAACACTAGATTAATGTTTGAGTATATATATCACACAGCTTTTCGAAATTTACAATATCGTTGGTGTTTTCAAATATTATAATAATAATAATAATAATTAATTTTAATTTAAACGAATCTAACCAAGAAAATATAATAGGTCATTTTGACTGCTCTTTTATGTTTGTTTACCGTTATCAGCATAAATTAAAGACTATTATGTTTTTTTATCTAAAAACATAAAGTAATTCCTTTTATGAAAATTTCCTCTATGATTTTCTGCAACTTGTTTTATTATCTGCTTGAAAATAGAAGTTGAAAAGTAAAAGTTAGTGTTTCAATTTCATTATTTATTTGAGTATTTAAAGTAGGTCCCTCAGTTGAATTTGTGAAACACAATGGGAGGAGAAAATTTTAAAATAAAATAAAAATAAATTTTGGAGAAGAAGAAAGTGTGTAAATCAATAAAAAATAACAAAATTGAATATTGACACTTAATATGAAGCGATATTTCAATTTTACAAATATAGGAAAAATGGGAATGTGCACAAAATCGATTCAAAATTTATATTTATTTTAAATTTTAAAAATTAATATAAAAATGATACAATATTAAATAATTGAATAATTGTTATATATTCAACTAAACTCTAAATATCATAGTGTACATCTTACTTCACAAATAGGATATTCAAATGAATAATTTAAATAATATGAGCTCGTTGCTTTAACTTTTATTTCAAAATAATTTTTATAATGTGTATTGTTTTTTTTACTAAAATATAATGTGTATTTTTTTTATTACTAAAATACAATGTGTATTGTTTAAAAAAAAATTATAATTTTCTTTTTAAACAATTTAAATAAAAATTTAGTTTAAATAGTTTTTCTTGAAATTCTTTATTATAACTTTTTTGGATATCAAAATTATTAAAAAAAACATTTAAACTTGAAACTATTTTAAATAGTTTTTTTTTTATAAAAATCATTTTTGAAATATATATTTTTAAATTTTTTTTGTAATTTTGACTATATTTGAATCTTCAATAATGTATATTTATGTTATTTGATGTTGTTCTATTCAGAATCAGAAATAGATGATCTAACTCCACAAATGAGAGAAGATGACAATAATGGTCTTGAACGGTAGCTATGATCTCCTTTACGACAGCGCGTGGTGATCCTACAAAGTTAAAACTCTAACGTGTAAGTCAGTTCAAGATTCAAGATGAGTATAGTAAAATTAGAGACCAGAGATTGTGTATCTTTCATAGTGTGTGAACTGTTTTTATACTTTGGATCGAGTAGAGTGGGGTTTCGATGGATTGGGCATTGGCTGATTAGGCCTTTGGCCGGTCCAGAATAGTTGTTCCCAAAGTTTGATTAGGCGTTGAAGGGATCAGGGCAAGCCTTAAGTATTATTGGCAGGCCTCCGTGGAGTAGCCTGGAGTAAAGTAGAATTGAATCGCTTGGGATCAGTTTTGGAAAGTAATGAGGAACAAGCACATTAAATGTGGTTTCATCATTGAGTTGCTTCGTCACCCATTCCTGACACGTGCGATGAAGTGACCAGTCAGGGTGTAGCACATTTAGAGAGTACTTGAGTGCACTCGAGTTGACATGTACTTTTGAGTAAAAATCTAACCGTTGATCTTGAGATCTCTATTTATAGTTGATCTTGATCCTTTAACTGCCACTACTTATAAATATGGTGAGTTGAATATTTGGAAGTTTCCACAACCTTTTAGCTTTCAAGACTTCAGTTAATCTTCCAAATAAATATCTTCATTCCTCTCTTCTCAGAAAACCATTCGAAGTAGTTTCGTGTCGGCCAAAGGCCCAGTACGGTAAGACTTACTTATCATTCTCGATCCATTAAGCTCGAGAAAAATACATTGTCTACGAGTTTTCAGGTACACAATCTATAAGCTCCATTTTCACTACGATTATCTTGAACCTTAACTGTCTTTGATGTTGGAATGCTAACTGTAACACCTAAAATCTAGAATTATGTTGCATATATATATTTAACTATGAATATTGTGTGAATTATGATGTTGTATGCTATAATATGGTGGGATATAAGTGAGTTAGAAATTATTTAGAATTATTAAATAATAGCTTTTATATGGTTTATTAGTAAAATAATAAGAAGAAATAGAATGAATATATGTGTAGAGATTTTAGGGGCATGCAAGTAATTACGTGAGGTTAAGTTGGGGATAAATGAGGTAAACCATAGTTCAGGGATATTTTATAAAGGGAATTAAGGAAAAAGTAGTCAGTTTACATCATACATGAAAATTTGAGGGGAAAAGGAGAAGAAGCTAGGGTATAGAAGATCAAGGAGGTATCTATCCATAAGCTTTGAAGAAATAATTACTAGAAAAATTCCAAGGTAAGGGTGGATAATGGTTGTCAATTATGAATGATATGAGGGGAGGATAGATGTAGGATTTTGATTCTTGTTGATTGTTGTTTATTATAATGATTATTGATGCAATTGATGAAACTCATTAATCTTGATGTTGTATGATTATATTGTGTTGTGTTGTTGATGATAATGATTCTACCCTATCTTATTTGTTGGGTCACGTGTTCATGAATCATGTGTGGAATATATGAATTGATGATTACATGATGTATGTATTATGTTAGGACCACAAAATGGGTGTTGTAGGTTGTTATAATTGTTACATAATTGTAGTAGTTTGAATTCTAAGACTTTTTACGAAATCGAATTCGGAGGTCCGGAAGGCCTCTAACTGTGAAAATCACATTTTTTTGGTTTGTTGTCCTAAGGAAGTTCACTAAATGAGTTGTAGTGAATAGTAATGAAAGTTATTGGTTTACCTTCTGGGATGAGTTCGCTAAGAGAAAGTTAGCGAGTAGTAGCAAAAGTTCACTGAGCGAGCATGTAGTGAGTGATGGCAAAATGAACATAACTTTTGATCCGTAAGTCCAAATCGAGTGTCATTCGAAGCGTTAGGGAGATAACACACAGAGCTATAGCATGATAGAAGTAGGTGAATTGTTTGTGAAATTATGGCAAACATAATAAAGATATCAAGACTGATGTCTCAACAACATGCAATATCACGACAGATGTTATAACATCTGCTGATAGCAAACAAATTTGCTAAAGGAAATCCATTATCAGTAGTATAAATTCGTAGCTAAACAACCCAAATTTACAAGTTTTCACTTAATCCCAATCCAATGCAAATTCTACCTAGGAACCTTCTAGATATAAGAACCCCTCTCACTCCTAATCACCGCAGTGATATCAAATAATCCCAATCCCAAGGAATGTCTCAAGAAACCAAAAAGGAAGATCACACTTCCAATACAAAATACTTAGTTTTGCTTAAAAACTTCAACTAAGAACAATACTCAACTCTTTTTTTAAAAGCTTAGAGGAGAATAATAACTTGATAAATAAGTAACAACCAATCAACTCAAATGCACCAAAATATACATGAGGACGTGCAAAAACACACAGAGAAACTAAGGAACTCTCAAACCCTAAACCCTTATTTGCACACAGTTTTATAATAAAAACTATGCTTCAAAAAACTAGGTCTTGGACGTCTCCTTAAATAGAATGTTCAGTTGGGCTTGGACTCTTCAATCAAATCCAATCTTTGGATGTAAATCCCTGCAAAAATGTTCTCCATAAGAATGGGAAAAATCTTCAAAAGTTTCCTAAAAAGTCTCAAAGATCCTTTTTATGAAACAAATCAAATCTACACATGTTCCTAAAAAATCCTTGATTGCCTGCAACTGTATGAGTACTAGAATCTTCCAGAAACTCATATTTTCAAATCAAATCTTCAAGGATACATACTAGTTATACTATCATGATGTTTTGTTGCAACATGTTACAACATCTAATAGAACATCTGTCAAATAAGTACCAACTGACTCTGTTGTACAAGATGGTCAAGACATTATGACATCTTGCTTAACATTAGGTTACAATACATGTTTTTCAAATGAAACATGTTTTGATAAAATTGTTGTCAACTATTTGTTTTACCAAAAATTTTGCCAACCATAAAATCACAGACCTAACAGTTTGAGTATTATTTCATGTGTCTAACATGTTTGGGAGGTTGATTATTTATATGTCTTGTTAATGAGTTATTGCATTATTGTGATAATGTTACGCTATGATGACTTGTTATGATGATGAAGCTTGGTGTTGCTGCTATGGTGTTTATTGTTGATGATCTTGTTGTTGCATGTTGTAAATCACGCACCCATGTTGTTGGAACTTTATGTTCTAAGTTATTTTGTAGCCTTGTTTCCTATGGTGATGGTTCGAGTGAGATTGTTTATGTTGAGATGCTTATATTGATGATGATGATTTTATTGCATGTTTTAGTTCATACATCCACGATGTTGGAACTTCAGTTCTATTTAAGATGTGTCCTCGTTTCCTATGGTGGTGGTTTGAGTGCGAGTAGCTAATTCCTTTGTTTGGGGAATTAGTAAAGTGTTATCTATGGTGATGGTAGAGATTTATTGTGCTCCAATTCAAGAGGGACCAAGATTCTATAGTGGGGATCCTGAACTTATGGCGGGGTTCAGGGAGAGAAATGAACATGTGTGTTCATATTTGGTACCACATGCATTTGAGTCAGTGTCGTTGAATTAACATTCTATGTGACATTGCATAAGTTGGATTGATGATATATGATGTGATGATTAATGGTGATTTATATGTGATTATGTGTGAATTTTGTGGATGAAGATGATGTTTGAGCTATTTATGATGAATGAAGGCGTGAGTTTATGTTATATTGATGTTGTTGATTTGTTTATTACAATTGTTGAAATCTATTTTCCCTTATTTTTTTATGATTACTCACCCCTTATGTTTAAATGTTACCTCTACGTGACTAACGCGCAGATACTCAGGAGTAGCCTCCAATGAAGTAAGTGGAAGCTAGCTATTGGAACTTGTTTTAATTTATCATT